AAATCGATTATTACGAATTAATTGATTATTTAAATTTTAAAAACTGATTATTATGAATTAATGGATTATTTAAATTGTAAAAATCGATTTTTTATGAATTAATCGATTATTTATATTGTAAAAATCAATTAAAATTAATTAATTGATTATTTAAATTGTAAAAATTGATTATAATGAATTAATTGATTATTTAAATTATAAAAATAGATTATTAGGAATTAATGGATTATTTAAAATTATATAAATCAATTTTTATAAATTAAATGATTATTTTAAATTATTTTCCTCACTTCCAGATCCTGCTACGAAAATATTCCTGAAAATATGCTCTAAAATCCTATTTTTGATAACAATTAATTATGAACAATACAAATATGATTTTGTATAATAAAAATGATATTTTAGGCATATAAAACATTACGTGATGCATGACGGTAAAATAGAGTGTTAACACTCAAAACTAGACCGCTATTTGTTATCAATTGTTATGTTGATTAATGATTATGATGAATGATTATTATGGATGATCATGAATAATGAACTAACTGATCAAAATGATTATTGATGATTCAGCCATGAGAGTAATGAATATATTGATAATTATTAAACGATTTGTATTGTTAAACGGTATCTAGAAGAACTCTAAGATATACCTATTAGTTAATTGATGTTAAGGCTATCTAGAAGATCTCTAGAATATAGATCTTGTATTAGAACAGGCTTATGAAAACATGAACATTTGATGAATTAGATAAAAACGCATAAATGGGATTCATAGACCAAACTAGAGGATCACTCGTTTGGGAATGCCCGATCTAATGTTGATCAATCGCTATATTGTTGTTGCCTTAACTGACTACAGTTAAGTGTCCGAATCATTTGCCTTAAACTAGTGATAGTTTAAGTGTCTGATTGCCTTAACTGACTGCAGTTAAGTGTCCGAAATCAATTGCCTTAAACTAATGATAGTTTAAGTGTCTGATTAATGATTGCCTTTTAAGAATCTGGTTATAGAAATTATGAT